GAGCCCCCTCAGAGGGAGCACAAAACCCCCGGGCGCCACTCAGGGGCGGCCGCCGCTTCCCGCGCTCCCCTCGGCGCGAGCCGCATCCCGTCAGGTGCCTTCACCTCCCTCAGGCACGGCCGCCGCTTCCCGCGCTCCCCTCAGGGGCGGTCACCCCTCAGAGCAGGGCGGCCCAACGCGGCTCCGATGGAGCTAAAAACACCTAAAAAAACCACAAAAAAGCGTTTTAGGAGAAAGTTTACCTCAACCTCGGCTTCTCAGAGGCCAGAGTTAGGGGGCTCAGCTCTAACAGCAGCAGAGGCTTCCCGGACCCCTACAGCTCTGTCCCTGTGGGGTCAAAAACCCAAAGGCAGAGCCATTAACATTTGCTTAAATTCGAGGTAGCTAGAGGTAAAAAAAGAGAGGTCAACCACAACAACAGCTTTTTTGTTGTTTGTTTTTTGTTGTTTTTTTTTCCTTTTAAATCAGCTTTATTTTTCTAACTGTTATTTCAATTTCCCATAGCACCTTGGCAATGTCAAAAACAAATACAAATACATGTATTATCATTTTAACATTTAAAGCATGAACCTACTTTACACAAATTTTGTTTTGGACAGTTTTGACAACAGGAATATACCAGAACAGACAAAGTATAGAAGCCAGATAGGTTGCTTTTTTCTCCTTTCACTGAAGCCCTACCACTTTGAAGAGAGATCATAAATGCCAAGGGGAAAGCTGGATTCATCCGGGAGGAACGAGATGTCTGTAGTAACTCGAGCTCAATATATTATCTGAATATCTTGTATTCTATAAAAATTAGAACAAAACCCATTTATGCACAGTCTGTTTACATTTGAAGTTGCATTTTTGGAAACTGTATCCATAACTGAAGCTCCATAAAAATAAACCTCTGGTTCTTAAATATAAAATTTTAAAGTTGTTACAGGTTAGTTTGCAGATGGATTTTTTTTTTTCTCAGAAATAAGTTGCTTTAACTCCATTTCAAGTCCTCCCAACTGTACATTAAAAACAGACTCCGTTAACCTCTTGAAGTGCCTACGCTAAAGGCACTGAGGAGCGGAGCCAACTAAAATACTACAACAAACCAAAATTATGTACCACCCTAAAGGAAGCTCAGACTATATGTAATATATACACACAAAGAAGAGCATGATAAATCATTCAGATTAATGGCAACAATCTTACGTTTCAGAAGGAAATATCAAAATTAGAAACAAAAATTCTATTGCATATCTGTAGTAATCAAGGATTTACAAAAAAACTTATCAGAAGCAATTTTCCCCCCGAAGTGCATTTCTGTTGCATCGTCTGTAATACAATGGCGCATTTTACAAATTTAAAATATCATCTGTACATACCAGATATTTCAGCCCAGGTGAACACTCACTTGGGTAACAGTAAAAATAGCGGACATTTTCAAGACAATTAAGCTGATATTGACAAAGTAGTAAGGCCATAGCTATTTAACTACAGTAAAGCATCGATTAAGTCACTTATTTGCTACTGATCTGCCATAGTATCATCTTTCTCTTCTGGTTAATAGAGTGGGTTACTTTTTTTAATTTTTTTTTCTTTTTTATTTTTTTTTTAAACCTACTGCTAAAACTGCACCGTCATACTGTGCCAGGCTAACTTAAAAAAAAAAAAAACAAACAACAAAAACAAAACAAAGCAACAAAAAAACCAAATCAAAGATAG